CAATGGTTTAGTCATTGTTGACGGCGTGCTTTTGACCCTGTGGTCCGAGGTTCGAACCCAACCCACGCTACCCGACTTTGTTGGTAGGTAGCTTTGTTATGGTCCGGTTCAATACCAGACCTAACCTCGAGAAGCCTTATGTGGTTTGCCAGTCCAAGCCCCGGGGTTAGGTTATGGGTTTCCATCAATGAACAGCAGGTCTTTGTGACTATGGGGTCCGCTCCTCTGCTGTTCATCACACATCGGTGTGTAATAAAAAAGATACCCGTGAACAACAATCGGGATTCTGACCAGGCCGCGGTGGTACTGACCAAATCTTTATACTGCGTCAATCCTCGAATTCCATCACACATCATCGACCAACTGTTGTTCTATTCCCTGACCTGAAATGAACCCTCGACTCAGTTCACCGGGAAGTCCTAATAGATTCGCTTCTTCGAACAAACATGCCACTGAAGTACGTGAAAATACTGAAGTCTGGTGGCTTAGGGGTCTACGGAGAGCTAAATAGGTCGTTCAAAACTAGCAGTGGCGTTCGTCGAGGGTGCCCTATTTCGCCATTGCTGTTTAATTTCGTCACGGACGAAATGCTGGAGAATACACTTAGTGGTCTCCAAAATGTAGGTATTGAACGGGCAACTGGAGAAAAGCTGTATGACTTAGAGTAGTACACTGATGACATAGTCTGTCTGTTCGAATGTATGGAAGATGTGCAAAGTATCCTCGGCAGACTAGCAAATTATTCCGCTCCCTTTGATTTGCGCTTTGCACCTTCAAAGTGCAATGCGGTACTGTAAGTCTGAGTGTCGACAGGTTCTGTTCTAAAACCAGATCAATAAATAGCTGAATTTAACTGCTTCTCATATTAGGGTGATTGCGTGACCGACGATGATAGCGCAACAAAGGAAATAGTCGCACGCCATCCAAGGCTCTAGCAGCGCGCGCAGGACTAAAGTACATGTGGTGCCGAGGTGACTTTTCACCGAAATTGAATAATTGCACATTCTGCTCCACTGTACTATCAGTTCTGCTTTACTGTTGTGACACCTTAAAATCCCTATCGTATTTTTGTCCTAAGTGGTCTCATGTAAGGGGATTATTTGGAAATTTCTGACCTTGGTCGTAACTAGCGAACATCTCGTTCTACGAAAAATGAAGATGTTTGGCCCATAATTGAGTGTTACTGTGGCCAACAACTTAGATGTGATAAAACAAAGACTTGTGTTGCGATATCGATATTCCAAATACCTTCAAGTCATGGTTCTTGAGAAAAACATTTGAAGCTGTATACTTAAAACATCCGTGGATCATAATTAACAATTATTTACTGTGTCCTTCACCCACGATCTTGCGGTTCGTAGTTTGCATCTTGTTACTGTGAGTGATTTACTTATAGACTGGTTCTTGGTAAGTTCTCGATTATGCTCTGTACAGATAGATGGTTTTGAACACCAGAATAACATATTGCTGCTTACCGATGGAAGAGAAGCGATCTGTGCCAAAATTTTCATTCGTTACAGATTGTTCGTCTAACAGTCGTGGTGGTCTCCTCTGACGGCTCCATACAAGCGAAATCCCTAGATGAGCGGGAGATGTATAAATTATGTGTTTGCGATTGCGGTCGACTGAACTAGTGCTGTTTATTACCATTTAATAAAATTAACTCTATTACACCGTGTAATAAACAATAGAGGAGGGAAAACCCATAGTCACATGGGCCTATTGTTCCGTTAGGAAAACCGACGATCCAATGGCTGGAATTACGATAATCGAACTGCATAAGGTTGTCAGTGGTAAAGACGTGCTATTTAACCAAATAACTTCAGAGTTACCCACTACCAAAGTTGGGTGAATTCGAACCTCGAACCTGAAAGCGCAAAGCATGCTACCTACAGCAACTTCAACCGCTTGATAACCACCATTTGCCACTTTTTCTCCATCAGTCGATCGCCGTTATCTGTTCACCGGATGAGCAGAGTATAATGCCCCTTCCTTAGACAAGATTATTTTGTACTCAGCATTTCAACCTGCTCGTAAAAATCATCTATCAGCACAACTATATTGGAACTTCGGCTCATGCGAATAAGTTCTGTGGGTTTGTCGTAGAACCCGTCTTTTTGTGTATTAGAACTCTTTAAGAAAACGTATAAACTAAGGATAGAACTGTAAATCATGTATCACTTTCTGTAGCATACCTAAAATTATAAAGTTATCATCTGTGCTCGAAAAATTATCTTCAACGATGTTGTCTTCCAAGAAGCGAGTGCAGAAACGAAATAACGATGTTCTCACTCCAGTGGTACATCTGAAATTGGGGGGTATCTGGTTATGATCCGTTCTCCGCAGCTACCTGCGATTTAAAGTAAATTTTCTTCCGTCTGAAAAAACGTGTCTGACTTCATACGCGACGGAATACTGTGCTTT